TAACCATTGAAATGATTACACTTTCATGATTGGATTATTTCTGGTACTCTTCTTGACAGGGCGTTGATCACCATTTGCTTGCCATCAATCGCTCTCTTGTTTTTTTAAAGCAGAGTCGGCAGCAGCAATGTGGCAAGCATGATGTATAGTGTCGCCTTTCTTTTTTCCTTGCCATTGAGTGGTACTCGTTTTTCATCTTCGGCCTCGGAAGGAAATAGGGCGAGTGACGTGTTTCTTTGGTTTTGAGTCCGCCGCTCTACGGACTTGATCAACCCGGGTCTCATCTAAAGTAAAATATTTCAGTCACAATCGTGCCGTTTCTCATTCTGTCAAGTCGATTAATAGTCAAACACTTTTTCTTTCGGTTTTTTACTGCAGTTCAGCCTAATCGATGAGTCAAAGCACTCAAGATTCATTCATTTACTGGCCCACGGTCAAGAACATTATTAATAGTTATTTAAAGTAAGCGAATCTGTTGATTTAGTGTTTTCAAGAACCGAAGCTTCATTCGTGATCTAGTCATACACAACACTGAAATTTGTTTGATGTTACAAGTTCTGAATCGAAGAGATCGTTATGGTTTAAATTCTTGACTCCGTACAAACACGTGGTTGTGTTAAAACGTTAAAGTATGTGGTTTTCAGCGGTTCTAATTGACAATGTTTGATTTACAGATGTTTCGTTTGGTTGCTGAGGAAGCAAAACGAACGTTGCGTAGAAACATTGTTGGAAGGTCTTCCGTGCGAAGATCAAGTTGTGGAAATGGAATCGCAGAACAGCGTCGAACCGACCAACTCGGCATCCAGTTTTACGCGTTCAGAAGTCAATGGCTCGTTTTCCGAATGCTGTCTCGACGGATTGACTTCTGTGACAGACGGCAGTGGCAGTGGCGGAGGCCCGAAGGCGAACATTCCTGAGGACTGTTCGTATCCTTTGAAGATGCTGCGGCGCGTGTTTGGTTGTTTGGGCGCAGACGAGTTCAAATCGCTATTATTTCATCTGTTAATTGGCAACCAGGTTATCGTTAAATCGGATTCTGAGCGAGTCACGAAGTTGTGTTTGGATGGACTCAGTTTTCTCCTGCCTCGAGGTTGCTGCCGAACCGTCTATTATTCTAAAAGGTACTTGGAATTATGGTACTGTAATTTGCTCGGTCTGGTCGTTTCGTCCAAGTTGCCGAAGAACAGTGTTGAAAACTCGTACGCGTTGCTCGAAGCGAAGGCTGTCGACAGTCCGTCGGATGGCCCCCTCGACTTTTCGTTGGTCAGCGTCAAGGCGTCGCTGTTCACGCCGCACATCGATCCGCCGCAGCTCGTTCGACAGTACACGTCGTTGATTTCTAGCGCTGATCTTACGCTACCCGTTGTGGCCAGAACGATCACTGCCGTGAAGTGCGAATGGATGAACAAGACTAAACTTTACTTCATCGTCCTCAAACAATTCAGTGACAATGAGTCGTGCGCCCGCCTGCGTTGGAGGTCGGTGACTAAGTGCAAAATCGAAGATGAATTGCTGGTCAAATTCTGGCTTGCTGGTTTGAGCCGAAATTTCAAAAATTTCGTATTTTCCACGTGTTCTCATCTCCAGAGATGAAATCTCTCGTCATTTTTGTGCGTTAGTATTCTTTTATATTTTTAAGGATCGAAATGTTCGTTGTAAACGAATAAAATCGTTGCCTGGGTGCTTTAGCAGCGACTGTAACAGGTGAGTTTCTTTTCGAACAATCGTCTTTGGCAGCTCCACAGTTATACTTTTGCAGTGTACTAAATAAAGAGGTGTTCATGTTTTTTTTGTTTTGCTAACCATGGAATTAGACTGCACTGCATACCAGTTTTTAAGCATCCATATCACACCAACGGTATAAGTTTAAAAAGTTATTTGATTGAAGGACGTACGTTGCACAAAATGAGAAACTTAGTTTGATTAAAATAGTGCAGCTATTAAGACGAGAAAACTGAATGACTACGAAGATGTGGGGTCGTTGATGATGTACAGATGTCGTCTTCGAATTCTAGAGATTGGAGGTCGAAAGAAGGACAGACTTCCTCCTTAACGGTCAAATCATTTTGCACGAGTTTTCTTGCATGCGCCCAGCTGAGAAACGGTTAATTGGTCGTTGACTTTACACTAGCATTATGTTATGATCATTAGAAGATGTTGCAGGTAATGACATGCTGCCAGAAGCTATGAGAAGGAAGATCGCCGATCAACGAAGAATCGGAGATTGCCGTAAAAAGAACATTTCAGTAAGCCAATCAAAGAATCTTTGCGCATGACTGCTCTAAGACTAGATTTCATCAAAGAACTATATGCACGTTGCATAGCTGCTCTGGTGATACAGCGGTTGATGAATCGTAACATACGACATGCGAAAACCTTACAAGTGTAAAACGAGCGATCGGATCAAAGCTAGGGCCATGATTTAGGTTCACATGGGGTTTCCGCCATCGGCTTGTAATTCGACACGACGTTATTTGCTTCGTCCTTCTTACACCGTTTCGAGAAACGCTAGTTCGAAACGCTTGCAACTGGTGGCAAGCACTGTGCTCGAACGCGATTACCCACTTGGCTTCAACCGAGCAGTGATGTGTTGCCGACCCACGGCGTCTTGTTCAATAGAGAAGTTATTTATGCGTGACTTCCAGCTTTGGCAGGTATGAAAAATCCGTTTGAGGTAAATAGATACGCAAGCCATTCACTCACTCACTCATTTTTTTGCTTCATTTATGTTTTTTCGATTTATTACTGAATGAAGGCTTCAGCAAGATTGGGTATTTTACACAAAATTCCGTCTTTTGCGATTCTCATCCACTTTGTTTCAGCAAATTTCTTCAGCACCACTTGCCGTCGAGTTGGAAGCTTTCCAACGGACCGTTGACACTGGCTCTTTAAACCTAGTCGAGTAGTCTCTCGACCCAGTTACGGTTGGTTATTCCTACAACATGTGTGTTTCTGCAATTTCAACTTCCTCGCCGTTACAATGACACCTGAGGTTAATCTTTTTTGCTCTTAGCCGTTCGTTCAAGCTCCAGTTTTTTCGTGTTATTTCCTTTCGGCGCTGCATTGCCCGTTATGTAGCTCTTGACCAGTTTTCAGGCCTAGGCTAACACTGGCAGCACGTTTTGATGGAAAACTTTCCATTCAAGCATAGAGACTATTTTCCAGAAGAGGACATGTTCATTGATTCAGAAGTGCTCCGTGACATTTCTATTCTTCTGTTGATAACGCAAAATTTGCGCCAGTGCACTTCCGCACCTCTTCACACTTCAGTCCATCGACTTCCCCCAGTCGTGGGGTCAGAAACTTCTGAATTATGGCATAGATTTTTGTCCAGTATGTTTTCAGTCCTGATTTGGTGCTGCTCTCTTCAGATCTTGAACTGCCGTATAAAGTTCACCACGAAAGTTTAACGTAACTTGGCATTGCCTTTCCTGTAAAACGCAGTAATCACAAGATATTGATTTCAGCCTCAACCGTAAGTCTCCAACTCAGTGCAATTGGTGTCTTCACCCACCTTGGTTCCACCTGCATTAGTTATGGACGTAGTGAACAACATCTGTCACCGTGCAGCTGCAATGTGACACACTGAAAGGGCCGTAACCGTTTCATGTGACCTTTCCAAAAATAACCTGCAGCCCGACATTGTTCGATAGTAAACTACTGCACTTCAGCTTTGGTTTGAGCAAACCAACAGAAGCAAACTGGCAATTGCCGTTATGTTTTCCCCAAAAGCTTTAGAACAATTTAACATTACCTCATGAAAAGGGGATTTACGAGAATGTTAAAATATGGAATGACCTTAGGGGATGCTTGTTCTCATGAAATTACATCATAGCAGCCAAGTTGAAGCCTTTGTTTATAAAATATGCTGCTTTGCTCGAAATGAAAGTTCTTATGAGCTACACAATACTTAGACTGCTTGATACCATAGGGAGGAATATCTGGCGGCAATCCGTCCATCTGATTCGTCTGGTTATGCTGAATGCTTAAGCTTCGCATCCCGCATTGCCGTGAAAGGACATTTCTGTAACGAAGTTAATGTTTCGGTAAATGAGAGGGTCACCACTAAGGTAGGGTTATTCATAAAAAAGTATATTGACGGAAGCTGAGTATCAAATACACCATGAATATTCGCCATGCTTTCATACAAGTCAAAATGTGTTTTTTCGGTAATCCGTACAGTCTCAAATTGTGGCGTTGATGATGCACAGTCGAAAAAAATCGTGTTAATATCTTGCTACTGTGTCATATAATTGATTTGACATACATTCGTTCAGTTCTGAATACGTTACCGATTTCGTTAATGAAAGGTGTTAAATTCTGCATTCCATAGCAATATCCTTGAGCTTGTGACCACTACAGTACATAGCCCCTGTTTTCTACCCATGAACTGGCACTCGTTTGCTGATCTTGTCTTGGAAGTACGCAAGCGGCAAGACCGAGGTTTGGACCCGGTTAATCTCGATTGTGAAACTGACGCTGTACCGACTGAGCAACGCTGGTCAGTGCTGCTCCTGTGACTGATCACCTACGGGTTAGGCATGTGTATTTTGTTCAGTTCTGTTATAAGCTCCGTTTAATTTATTTTCATCTTCCATCGCCGCTTCTCCTTTCGGGTCACGGAGGCAGACGCGTCAGACAGAGCTTCCAACGTTCCCGATCCTGTGCCAGAGTCTGAGCTTCGGCAAAA